GCCTCCTGAGGCATGTACCACCATGCCCAGCTTGAATTTGTCTCTTTAAAAAAGAGTGCATCGAACATTGGTGTAAACACTTAGTATCACATACATTGCACCTCCCAATGTGGAATTCGGGATGCATGAGAAGTGCCTGGATATTCACAAGGCACTCCTGGAATCCAAAGCTGAAAGCCTGCATCCTGCAGTGGGTATTTCCACAGTCCCTGGGCTCCTGAGCGTCAGGGCCGCCTCCCATCACATGGGCTGGTCTGCAAACTAAGAAGAAAGTGATTCCTGAGATCCAGTATTCTAATTGTTTTTTTGGAGATTTAAATTTTATTTCATAATGCTGGTGTGATTTCTAGCCTGCAAAAAAAGGATCAGAAGTTTGTGAACAAGACCATTATTCCTTACCAACTGATTCATAACCCCACTTTTTCTTTTTTTTGAGACAGAGTCTCACGCCCCCTCCCAGGCTCAAGCGATTCTCCTGCTCAGTCTCACGAGTAACTGGGATTATAGGCACCCACAATTAGGCCCCGCTAATTTTTGTATTTTTAGTAGAGACGGAGTTTCATCATGTTAGCCAGGCTGGTCTCAAACTCCTGACTTCAGATGATCCACCCACCTCGGTCTCCCAAAGTGCTGGGATTACAGGCGTAAGCCACCACTCCCAGCCCATAACCCCAGTTTCTTTATACCAACTTTGATTACAGAACTTGGCATGAAGCTCAGATTCCCATAATGCAAATTGTCCTCCCCAATTACAACTGCCAGTTTGTTTTCATCTAAGAAAAACAAAACAAGACGAAACAAAAATTGAAATGCTGGTCATTTCTGTGGACAAAAAGATAAGTATGGCCAGGTGCGGTGGCTCATGCCTATAATTGCAGCACTTTGAGAGGCTGAGGTGGGCAGATCACTTGAAGCCAGGAGTTCGAGACCAGCCTGACCAACATGGTGAATCCTCCTCTCTACTGAAAATACAAAAATGAGCCAGGCGGGGTGGCATGTGCCTGTACTCCCATCTACTCAGGAGGCGGAGGCAGGAGAATCGCTTAACCCAGGAGGCAGAGGTTGCAGTGAGCAGAGATCATGCCACTGCACTACAGCTTGGGCAACAAGATCTAAACTCCATCTCAAAAAACAAAAAAAAAAAAAGTAATGTGACTGCTATTTTCTGGTTGTAATCACAGAGTTCATGTGGAAAAGCTAAGCAATATGAAAAAATACAGAGTTAAAGTTTTTAACCCCAAATTGGAATAGCAAACCTTTTTTTTAATTTTTCTCTTGAGACAGACTAGGTCTTGCTGTTGCCCAAGCTGGTGTGCAGTGGCACAATCGCAGATGACGGCAGCCTCAACCTCCTGGACTCGCTGTGTGCTCCTGCCTCCCGAGGAGCTGGGACTACAGGTGCGCACCCCTACACCCAGCTAATTTTTTTTAAAATTGTTTTTGTAGAGGTGAAGTCTCACCATGTTGCCCAGGCTGGTCTCGAACTCCTGGCCTCACGTGATCCTCCCACCTCAGCCTTCCAAAGTGCTGGGATTCCAGGCATGACCTTATTTGGAGACCAGGTTGTTACAGAGATCATCAAGTTAAAATGGGGCATGAAGGTGGGGCCCTGATCCCATATAACTGTTGTTCTTACTAAAAGGGAACTTTGTTGCCAGTAAAAGAAAAAGAATACAATATTTTTTTCTTGAGACATTGTCTTGTTCTGTCACCCAGGCTGTAGTGTAGTGCTGTGATCATAGCTCACTGCAGCCTCAATGTCCTGGGTTCAAGTGATCCTCCCACCTCAGCCTCCTGAGTAGCTGAGACTACCGGTGTGTTCCACCATGCCCAGCTAATTTTCTGTATTTTATGTAGAGATGGTGTCTCACTGTGTTCCCCAGGCTGGTCTTGAACTTCTGGGTTCAAGCAATCCTGCCTCAGCCCTCCAAAGTGCTGGGATTATAGGCATGAGCCACTGTGCCTGCCCAAAGGGAAATTTGCACACAGAGACAGACATGCGTAGAAGGATGATGGCCACTGTAAGTCAAGGGATGCCTGAGTCAGGAGAGAGGCTGGGGCAGATCTTCCCCAGGGCCTCCAGAGGGAGCCCGACCTGCAGACACCTGACTTTACACTTCCGGCCTCCCAACTGGGACACAACAATTTTTATTGATTGACTGATTGATTTATTGAGGCAGGGTCTCACTCTGTCACCCAGGCTGGAGTGCAGTGGTGTGATCTCAGCTCACTGCAGCCTCATCTTCCCTGGCTCAAGCAATCCTCCCACCTCAGCCTCCTGAGTAGCTAGGGAACACAGGCACATGCAATCAGGCCTGGCTAATTTTTTTTTTTTCTGAGATGGATTCTTGCTCTGTCCCCCAGTCTGGAGTACAGTGGTGCGATCTCAGCTCACTGCAACCTCCACCTTCTGGGTTCAAGCAGTTCTTCTGCCTCAGCTTCCTGAGTAGCTAGTGTTACAGGCGTGTGCCACCACACCCAGCTAATTTTTGTATTTTTAGTAGGGACGGGGTTTCACCATGTTGGCCACGCTGGTCTTGAACTCCTGACCTCATGATCTGCCTACCTCAGCCTCCCAAAGTGCTAGGATTACAGGTGTGAGCCACTACTCCCGGCCTTGTATTTTTTTAGTAGAGATGGGGTTTCATCCTGTTGGCCTGGCTGGTCTCAAACTCCTGACCTCAAGTGATCCTCTCACTCATGCTCCCAAAGTACAGGGATTACAGACATGAGCCACGGCATCTGGCGTGAGACAACAAACTTGTCTTATTCTAAGCCACTTAGTTTGTGACACTTTGTACAGCATCCCCAGCAAAGTTATACCCAAGGAATAATCCATTTCATTGTTAAAGGACACAGAAGCTCATGCCCTCGGTCATTCATGAATGTGTAATTAGGTTTTGGCCGGAAGCAGAGGCTCATGCCTGTAATCCCAGCACTTTGGAAGGCTGAGATGGATGACTTGAAGCCCAGAGTTTGAGACCAGCCTGGCCAACATGGTGAGACCCCATCTCTACACACACACACACACACACACACACACACACACACACACACAAATATTAGTTGGGCATGGCAGCATCCATCTGTAATCCCAGCTACTCAGGAGGCTGAGGTGGGAGTAAGAGGCTGCAGTGAGCTATGACTGTACCACTGCACTGTAGCCTGGACAACACAGGAAGTCCCTATCTCTTAAAAAAAAAAAAAAAAGGGCGGGAGCTTGATATTGTGTTTTTGTTGTTACTGTTGTTTTCTGAGATGGAGTCTCGTGCTCTGCCCAGGCTGGAGTGCAGTGGTTCAATCTCAGCTCACTGCAACCACCACCTCCTGTGTTCAAGTGATTCTCCCACCTCAGCCTCCTGAGTAGCTGGGATTACAGGTGTGCACCACCACACCCGGCTCATTTTTATATTTTTAGTAGAGATGGGGTTTCACCATGTTGGCCAGGCTGGTCTCAAACTCCTGACCTCAGGAGATCCACCTGGGATTACAGGTGTGGGTCACTGTGCCCGGTTGATTTCACGTTTTGGCTGGGTTGGGTCTGGCAGGTGTATGGTTAATAAACCAGGTCTAAATATTTCCAGGCTACCAGTGGGTTGGGCACGCACTGACAGCAATGTTGTGGATGGTGATATTGGCTACAAACATGGAAGAAAACAAGATCTGGTCTCCTTTTTTCACCCAGACGGTGTCAACAAGCTGACCTAGGAGATGACAGGACAGGTACATGAGGCCCCGTGTACATGTGGGAAAGGGGATGCCAACTGCTGGGACCCCAGCCCCCCTGCCACCACCCAGCCCACCCGGCCAGTGGCTCTTCCCTGTTCCTTACAGCTTTTGAGAGGTTCGCTATTCAAAGGAGGATGAATCAAGGAAAGTACAGGGCTGGGGCACAATTTTGTTAAACATGACAAGGAATATGCTTTGGTTCAAGAAAACCCATGGCCAGGCACAGTGGCTCACGCCTGTAATCCCAGCACTTTAGGAGGCCGAGGTGGGAGGATCACTGGAGATCAGGAGTTCAAGGCCATCATGGCCAACATAGTGAAGTCCCATCTCTACTAAAAATACAAAAATTGGCCAGGTGTGGTGGCACATGCCTGTAGTCCTAGCTGCTCGAGAGGCTGAGGCCAGAGAATCCCAGGAGGTGGAGGTTGCAGTGCGCTGAGACCACACCTGGGTGACAGAGTGAGAGTCCATCTAAAAACTAAAAATAAAATGAGAAAACCCAATCCTTCTGCCAGGCATGGGGGTACGTCCCTGTAATCCCATCACTTTGGGAGGCTGAGGTGGGCAGATAACTTGAGGTCAGGAATTCAAGATCAGCATGGCTAACATGGCGAAACCTTGTCTCTACTAAAAATACAAAAATGAACCGGGCATGGTTGCGTGTGCCTGTAATCCCAGCTACTTGGGAAACGGAGGCAGGGGAATTGCTTGAACCCAGAAGGTGGAGGTTGCAGTGAGCTTAGATCACACCACTGCACTTCAGCCTGCGGGACAGAGCCAGAGTCCATCTCAAAAGAGAAAAGAAAAGACAACTCGACCCCTCGGCCTTCAAAAAAAAAAAAAAAATCCCACTGTAAGGATAAAACAGGCTGAGTACAGTGGCTCGCAGCTGTAATATCCGGACTTTGGGAGGCTAAGGCAGGAGGACTGCTTGAAGCCAGGAGTTTGAGACCAGCGTGCGTAACACAGGGGGACCTAGTCTTTACAAAAAACACACAAAAAAATTAACCAGGCATGGTGGCACATTCTTGTAGCCAGCTACTCGGGAGGCTGAGGAGGGAGGAATTTTTGAATCCAGGGAAGGCGGAGGCTGCAGTGAGCCATGATGTCACCTCTGCACTCCAGCCTGGGTGCGGTAGTACAGTCAGAACTCAGCGCAGCCTGCACCTCCGCAGAGTGAGGCCCTGTCTCAAAAAAAAAAAAAAAAAAATGCTGGGGGCTCATGCCTGTAATCCCAGCACGTCGGGAGGCTGAGGTGGAAGGAAATTGAGGTTAGGAAATCGAGACCGTCCTTGCCAACATGGTGAAACTCCATCTCTACTGAAAATACCAAAAAATAGGTGGGCATGGTGGCGCACGCCTGTAGTCCCAACTACTCGGGAGGCTGAGGCAGGACAATTGCTTGAACCCAGGAGGCGAAGATGGCAGTGAGCGGAGATCGCGCCACTGCACTATAGCCTGGGATTACAGGTGCGTGCCACCAGGCCTGGCTAATTTTTGTGTTTTAGTAGAGATGGGGTTTCGCCATGCTAGCCAGGCTGGTCTCCAACTCCTGACCTCAGGTGATCCGCCCACCTTGACCTCCCAAAGTGTTGGGATTGCAGGTATGAGCCACCGGGCCCAGCCTGATTTTTTTCAAGTATTTAAAAATAAACCAATAAACACTCTTGTGCAGCTCATGGGCTGTATAAAAACGTGGTGGGATCTCTGTGTCTCCCATGTAGATACTACATGCCATGGTTTCCGGAGCCCTGGCTAGATGTTTGTTTGTTTGAGACAGAGTCTCCCTCTGTTGGCCAGGCTGGTGGAGTGATGTGATCTCAGCTCACTGCAACCTCGGCCTCCCAGGCTCAAGCAATTCTCGTGCCTCAGCCTCCCTAGTAGCTGGGATTACAGGCACTACCACACCCAGCTAATTTCTTGTATTTTTAATAGAGATGGGGTTTCCCTACGTTGGCCAGGTGCTCTCAAGCTCCTGGCCTCAAGTGATCCACCTATCTCGGCTTCCCAAAGTGCTGGGATCACAGGCATGAGTCCTGGCTAGGTACATTTAAGGTATAATGGCATATGGAGGCTGAGGTGGGAGGATCACTTGAGGCCAGGAGATCACGGCTAGCCTGGACAACATACCAACGAGAGAGATCCTATCTCTACAAAAAATTTTTTTAAAATTAACTGGGCATGTTGGTAGTGTGCACCTATAGTAATAACTACTTGGGAGGCTGAGGCAGGAGGATTGCATAAGCCCAGGAGTTCAAGGTTAGAGTGAGCTGTGTGTGATCCCGCCACTGAATTCCAGCTCTGAGACAGAGCAAGACCCTCTTTCTAAAAACTGTTGAAAATGTTTTGTTTTCTTGAGACAGAATCTTTCTACATCACCCAGGCTGGAGTGCAGTGGTGCAGTCTCAGTTCACTGCAACCTCCGCTTCCTGGGTTCAAACAGTTCTCCAGCCTCAGCCGCCTCAGGAGCTGGGATTACAGGCATATGCCACTGGGTCTGGCTCATTTCTGTATTTTTAGTAGACACCAGGTTTCACCATGTTGGCCAGGCTGGTCTCCAACTCCTGGCCTCAAATGATCCACCCATCTCGGCCTCCCAAAGTGCTGAGATTACAGGTGTGAGCCACTGAGCCTAGCCTTGTGAAAAATGTTAGTGGCATTTTGATTATAATTGAATACTTGAAAAAAAATCAAACGCGTATGCATATGATTGCTTTTGTCAGGACTAGAGGCCAGGACCTTTTCTAATGCCTTCACCTTGTATTCCAGGGCCTTGCAAACAATAGGTGCTTAGCAAGTACAATCGAAGGCACTCAGACAGTGCTTGATGTGCAGTACATACATGTCATTAGGAAGAAAGAGACAAGAGAGGAAGAACACGGGAAAATTCAGGGCAATTGATCAGGTTGACACCATCGTTGCTAAAAATCAGAGGAGACCAGGCCGTGTGCCGTGGCTCATGCCTGTAATTTCAGCACTTTAGGAGGCTGAGGCAGGTGGATCACTTGAGGTCAAGAGTTTGAGACCAGCCTGGCCAACATGGCAAAACCTCAACTCTACTGAAAATAAAAAAATTAGCCAGGCGTGATGTGGCAGGTGCCTGTAATCCCAGCTACTAAGGAGGCTGAGGCAGGAGAATTGCTTGAACGGGGGAGGCATAAGTTGCAATTAGACAAGGTTACACCACTGTACTCCAGCCTGAGGGATAGAGCACGACTCCAGCTCAAAAAAAAAAAAAAAAAAAAAAAAATCAGAGAAGACCACATCTGCAGATAATGCACCGTGTCACTTTCCCTGCCTCTTGGTAGACAGCTCCTAACATCACCATGAGATCTTGGTGAAGGAGGGGTGGATACTGGGGTTGCTACAGTTTAATTACATTTTTCCCCCAGAGAGAGTTGCTCATCTTCTGTCAGATTCCTTTGAGTGTTTTTCCAATCCCTGCTGTGGGCTGTTTATCCTCGGGGCACTTCTCCATGGGGCCACAAGGTGGCGCCACTGCTGTATAAATGAAACAAACTGACCCAAGATTAGAAAATAGTGTTCTATTTTCTTTGAGCTGGGTGGGCTGGGTCAAACCTGTAATCCCAGCACTTAGGGAGGCTGAGGTGGGTAGATCACTTGAGGCCAGGAGTTCGAGACCAGCCTGGCAACATGGCGAAACCCTGTCTGTACTAAAAATACAAAAATTAGCCAGGCCTAGTGATGCACACCTGTAATCCCAGCTACTCGGGAAGCAGAGACAGGAGAATTGGTTGGGAAGCAGACGTTGCAGTGAGCCAAGATCTTGACACTGCACTCCAGCCTGGGTAACAGAACGAGATTCCATGTCAAAAAAAAAAAAAAAAAGTATTCCTAAGGACTGAGAGGAGAAACTGAGGCATGCAGACTGGAGTTGGGGTGGGGCTTGGTGAGAGAATGGGGTCAAGTAACCCGTGAAGGACTCTCAGGAAGTCACAGCAACTTAAAAATCATTTATTCTACCCCCCACTTCCACATTTTCCAGAAATAGAAACCAAAGCGGAGAGGGGGAAGGTAAGTATCCTAAAAGCACCACATTGGTGGGGAGCAGGGTTGCCAGAGAAAACACAGGACATCCAGTGAAGTGAGAGTTTCGGACTCTCAGTGTATGTCCCAAATAATGCACGAGACTTAGACTAAAAGCTTATTCACTCTTTGTCTTCAAACCTAACTGGGCATCTGTATGATTTGCTAAGTCTGATAACCCTCGTGGGGGTAAAATGAAGATTAGGGAAATAATTAAATGTAATAAGCAAACATGCAAAATGAGGACAACTCGGTTCCCATTGTGCAGACAAGGGAATTGCACGTTAGGGAGGCAACTTGCCCCAAGGCCGCACTCACAAGCATCAGAGTCAGGATTTGAACCCGGTCCTGATTCCGGAGGTCTCAACTTCACTGTTGTGGTCAGGAACACACCCCAGTCCTACTCATGTGTGTGCATGTTCTGTCTTGAATGTAACCCTCTTCCCATCGTGTAAGTGGGCCATTCCCCTCCCTGACATTGAAGGACCCCGTCTTCAGCAGGCGCCTCCTGACCCAGCAGACCCCCATGAGCCCAGATCCCTGGGGCATGGTGGCTGCCCTTATCACATTCCCTGACTCCCCATCTTAGGACCCAAGGCTGACCCCCTTCAGGATCTGCCGCTGTGTTACAGGAAAGGGGACCCGATCCAGACCCGAAGGGAGGGTTCTTGGATCTCATGCAAGAAACAACTCGGGGAGTCCAAAAAGTAAAAGCACATTTTTTTGATTGTTTTTTTTTTTTTTTGAGATGGACTCTCACTGTGTTGCCTAGGCCAGACAGAGGTCAGTGGTGTGATCTTGGCTCACTACAACCTACGCCTCTCAGGTTCAAGTGATTTTCCTGCTTCAGCCCCCTGAGTAGCTGGGATCACAGGTGTTCGCCACCACACCTGGCTAACTTTTGTATTTTTAGTACAGACGGGGTTTCACCATGTTGGCCAGGCCGATCTCGAACTCTTGACCTCAGGTGATCCGCCTGCCTCAGCCTCCCAAAGTGCTGGGATTACAGGTGTGAGCCACAGAGCAAGTTTCTTCTTTCCTAAAAAAGCAAGTTTTTTAGGAAAGCAAAGATAGAATGGTTACTCCATAGAGCAGCCCAGAGGGTGCTGGTGCCCATCTTTACGGTTATTTCTCCATGACATGCTGAATGAGGGGTAGACTATTCATGACACCCCTTTTTTAGATCACATAGGGCAACTTTCTGATGTTGCCATGGCATTTGTAAATTGTCATGGCGCTGGTGGCAATGTAGCAGTGAGGACGGCCAGAGGTCACTCTCCTGGCCATCTTGGTTTTGGGGGGTTTTGGACTGGCTTTTTTACTGCAGCCTGTTTTTATCAGTGAAATCTCTGTGACCTGTATCCTGTACTGACCTCCTCTTTCATCCTGTGACTTAGAATGCCTTCACTGTCTGGGAATGCAGCCCAGTAGGTCTCAGCCACTTTTACCCAGCTCCTATTCAAGGCGGAGGTGCTGTGGTTCACATGCCTCTGGCAGCTGGGCTCCTCCAGATCTCCTGACGTTCTGTCCTGTCCCCAGCTCCTGGGCCCCTCCGCCCTCACCGCCATCGCTGTCTTCCTGAGCCTCTTCCCTCTGAATTTCTTCATCACCAAGAAGAGGAATCACTGTCAGGTTCAGCTTTTGGGAAAGGGACAGACCAGGCAGGAAGTGGGGAGGAAGACACAGGCCCTGGTGTGGGCGATGGGGAGGGGAGAGCTGGGTGGGAGCCGGCGGGTCTGGGTTTGTTCTTGTCTCTGTGAGTTGCCCATTGTGCAGACTTGTCCCGCTCCTTCCCCATCGCAGTGGACACGGCTCCTCCCTCCAGTGTTCAGGCCTCAGGCAGTTCCCTCAGGCTGACAGAAGAGAGAGCATTGTCAGTTCAATGCCTTTTTCTCCTGTACCCCATCTGTCAGCAGATTTGCGTGGTGTCACCTTGAAGATGCACCCTAGCCTGGGTAACAAGAGTGAAACTCCGTCTCAAAAAAAAAAAAAAAAAAATGCATCCAGCAGCAAGGCCCTGGCTTGCTCCCTGCTTCTGCCCACAGCCTCTCTCCACGCCCAGCCACAGGAGACCTGTGTGAGGCGAATCCATTGCACCCTCCTCTGCTCAGACCCACAGCGGCCCCATTTTCCTCGCTCTGAGCCAAAGGCCCCACAGTGGCCCACTAGGCCCATCCTGAGCTGCCTCATTGCCTCCAGCCTCACCTTCCACCCATCTCCCTCCCTTCCCCACCTACCCCCTTCCCCATCCTCACACCTGACATGTTCACACATCTCTCTAGGCATCTGCTTTAGCTGTTCCCTCTGCCTGGGCCACCCTCCCTCCAGAAGACCCTTGTCCCCTCCAGCACTCCCTGCAGTCAGGGCCGCCTCCCTCACCACCGTCCAGCAAGAACACAGCCCGCCCACCCCTCTCCTCCCAGCAACTCCCTTCCTTGGCCTGTCCTGGGTTCGTTTTTGCTTTTCCCCAGCACTTCCCACTTCCTAAAGAGCCCTGCAGGAAGCGCCCGGCAGGGGCCGATGGCCTCATGGCCTCACTCTCCTTAGACTGGAAGATCCACAGCAGTATGGGCCACTCACTGGGCAGACTCAGTATCTAGTTAGCGCTCAGCACGCAGAAGGTGCTGGATAAGTGAGAACTACGGAAGAAAGGAGGGAGGGGAGAAAGAAGGGAGGGAGGGGAGGAGTGAAAGGGAGGGAAGGAAAGATAGGAAGGGGGAGGACAGATGGAAGGAAAGAGGGAGGGAAGGAAGAAAGGAAGGGAGGGAAGGAAAAAAGGGCAGAAAGAAAGGGCAGGAGAGCAGAAGAAAGGAGTAGGGAAGAAAGAAAAGAAAGGAGGGAGAGAGGGAGGGAGGGAAGGGGGATGGAGGGAAGGAACTTATTTCCTCTCTAGGCCCAGCTGTCCCAATGTCCATCTGTCACTTGGACTGTTTCTCCAGCCTCCTGTGTGGCCTCCTCTGGGCATGGTGGCTCACGTCTGTAATCCCAGCACTTTGGGAGGTCGAGGCAGGCGGATCACCTGAGGTAAGGAGTCCAAAACCAGCCTGGCCAACATGGCAAAATGCTCTATTAAAAAATACAAAGATTAACTGAGCATCATGGCAGGCACCTATAATCCCAGCTACTCCAGAATCTCAGGCAGGAGAATCACTTGAACATGGGAGGCGGAGGTTACAGTGAGCTGAGATCACGCCACTGCACTCGAGCCTCGTAACAGAGCAAGACTCCATCCCAAAAAATAACAAAAAACCTTCTCCAGGCACCTGCCTTCTGATGATGCCCCCTACCCTAAAGTGCCAAGTGACCCTGCCCACGCACTCCTCTGGCCACACTGAGTGTCCTCTGAGTCGTGCTGCTCCCTCTGCCTGGGTTTTTGCAGCCCCCTGTCTCAAAGCCTCCCCTCCCTCTTCCCGGCTCCATCCCCCCATCCTCTGCCTGCCCAGCATCCACCTCCTGGTCATTTAACATGTAGCTCAAGGTGTAATCCCAGCACTTTAGGAGGCCAAGGGCAGAGGATCACTTGAGCCCAAGAGCTTGAGGCCAGTCTAGGCAACACAGTGAGACCCCCCCCCCCCCAACCCCACCAAAAATGTAAAAGGAAGAAAAAAAGATGTAGCTCAGGCATTACCCACCTCCAGGTAGCCTTCCTGATGACACCATACCCAGGTGGGCTCAGGGGCAGCCTCTGTTCTCTGGGCATCAGAAGCTGCCTCCCCAGGGCAGTGGCACCGGGTCAGCTCCTGCAGGGGTCCAAGCACAGGATGATGGTGGATGGATCAGGACTGGGGGTCAGAGATGTGGAGAGGCAGACAGCTTTGGGACGCACTTGGTGAGATCAGTGGGATTTGCTGCAGGGTGACTGTCAGGGTGCAGGGGAGAATTCTGGACCGGCTGTGTCTTCATCTCTCTCTTCCCTCCAATCCCAGGAGAGCAAATGAGGCGGAAGGACTTGCGGGGCCTGCTCACCAGCTCCATCCTCAGGAACTCAAGGACCATCAAGTTCCATGGCTGGGAGGGAGCCATTCTGGACAGAGTCCTGGGCATCCGAGGCTAGGATCTGGGCGCCTTGCGGACCTCTGGCCTCCCTTTCTCCGTGTCTCTGGTGTCCTTCCAAGCATCTACATTTCTGGTGATGTCACTCGTCTCTATACTGAGCAGGACTGGGGATGGAGTGTGGGGGTCGGGGGGGGGGTGTGAGGTAGGTGGAACCTCCCAGATCCTATCACCCTGTCCGTCAAAACCCACACATTCTGGATCCTGTTCTGTTGGGGTTCCTGCTGTCTTCTGTGTGAACGAATTAATCACATGATTCTGGTAAAGGTGGCAGCGGCTGATGAGGTCTGCTGTTCTAAGAGTTCCAGGCTTCTACTGATGTGGGGAGGAGGGTTCAGGTGCAGGTGGGCTGCAGAGGTAGAATCCGGGGTCTGAGTAGCTTCCCTGCTGCTGGCCAGCAGATGTCCACAGCCACCCTGTCACTGACGTGATCCTTGTCCTGCCATTCTGTAATTTATTTCTGATGGCTGTCAGAACAATCTTCCTAAAGCACAGCTTTTGGAAGAATTTAAAAACGTTGATACCTAGGCCAGGTGCAGTGACTCACACCTGCCATGCCAGCTCTTGGGGAGGCTGAGGTGGCTTGAACCAGGTGGCGGAGTTTGCAGTGAGCCGAGATTGTGCCACTTCACTCCAGCCTGGGCGACAGAGCAAGACTTTGTCTCAAAAACGAAACAAAACAAAACAAAAGGACCACAAATGGCACCAACACCCAGAGCCTTCCCATGTTGCTCTCCCCAGGAGTCCCCGGGCTCAGCCCTCATGTCTATCACCTTCACAGAGAGGCCTTTCCTGACCACCTTCTCCATCACCACAGCATCCCTGCTCGTGCTAGTGCACTCTACCCCTGCACCTGATTTCTCTTTACTTTTTTATTTTTGAAGAGAGAGTCTTGCTCTGTTCCCCAGACTGGAGTGCAGTGGTGCAATGTTGGCTCACTGCAACCTCCACCTCCCAAGTTCAAGCAATCCTCCCACCTCAGCCTCCCGAGTAGCTAGGATTACAGGCAGGTGCCACAACACCTGGCTCTTTTTTTTTTTTTTTTTGTACTTTTAGGAGAGATGGCATTTCACCATGTTGGCCAGGCTGGTCTTGAACTCCTAACCTCAAGGGATCCATCCACCTCAGCCTCCCAAAGTGCTGGGATTACAGGTGTGAGCCACTGCACCTGGCCACACCTGCTTTAGTATTTATTCTTCATAGCTTTCCACCTGATGTGCTGTCTGTGTTAATGGTTTGTTTATGGATCGCCTGTCTCTTTCTCCCTCATTAGAATGACGGATCCATTAAGAGGGCAGCAACTTTGTTTTCCTCATTGCTGTTTCCCCAGAGCCTGGAACCCCACCGGATATATGATAACCAGGCAGTAGTTATTAGTGGAATGAATGAACGAACGTAAGAATGAATGAATGGCCGCATGCTGTGGCTCACGCCTGTAATCCCAGCACTTTGGGAGGCCGAGGTGGGTGGACTGCTTGAGGTCAGGAGTTCGAGACCTGCCTGGACAACATAGTGAAACCCCATCTCTACTAAAAACACAAAAGTTAGGTAGGAATGGTGGCACACGCCTGTAATACAGCTACTTGGGAGGCTGAGGCAGGAGAATTGCCTGCACCCAGGAGGTGGAGGTTGCAGTGAGTCCAGATTGCGCCACTGCACTCTAGCCTGGCAGAAAGAGAGAGACTGTCTTGGAAATAAATAAAAATAATTAAAAAAAAAAAAAAAAGAATGAAAGAGAAGGCCTAGATAGAAGGAATAAGTTACGGTAATCAATAGTGCACAAGGGAAAATACAGTGAATGAGAATTTATTTGAATATTTCAAGATAGCTAGAAGGATTTTCGTGTTCCCAAAACAGAAGATAAATATTTGAGGTGATGATTGTCTCAGTTCCCCTGATTTGCTCATCACATATCATCTACAGCTGGGGTCCCCAACCCTCCTGGCCACAGATCAGTACCAGTCTGTAGCCTGTTTTTTTCTTTTTGTTTTTTTGAGACAGTCTCACTCTGTGCAGTGGTGTGATCTCAGGTCAATGTAACCTCCACCTGCGAGGTTCAGGCAATTCTCCTGCCTCAGCCTCCTGAGTAGGTGGGATTACAGGCATGTACCACCACACCTGGCTAAATTTTGTATTTTTAGTAGAAACAGGGTTTCACCATGTTGGCCAGGCTTGTCCCGAACCCCTTACTTCAGGTGATTCGTCCTCCTCATTCTCCCAAAGTGCTGGGATTACAAGTGTGAGCCATCACACCCAGCCTTTTTTTTTTTTGACACGGAGTTTCACTCTTGTTGCCCAGGCTGGAATGCAATGGCGTGATCTTGGCTCACTGCAACCTCCATCTCCCAGATTGAAGCTACTTTCCTGCCTCAGACTCCCAAGTAGCTGGGATTACAGCTATAAGCCACCACGCCAGGCTAATTTTTGTATTTCTAGTACAGACAGGGTGTCTCTATGTTGGTCAGGTTGGTCTTGAACTCCCGACCACAGGTGATCCACCTGCCTCAATCTCCCAAAGTGCTGGGATTATAAGCATGAGCCACCGTGCCTGGCTCACCTGTTAGGAACTGGGCAGGCAGCACAGCAGGTGAGCAGCGGGTGGGTGAGGGAGGCTTCATCTGTGTTCACACCTGCGCTCCACCTCCTGTCAGATCAGTGGTGGTGTTAGAGTCTCATAGGAATTCAAGCCCTACTGTGAACAGCACATGTGAGGGAACTGGGCTGTGTGCTCCATATGAGAATTTAATGCCTGTTGATCTGTCACTGTCTCCTGTCACCCCCAGAAAGGACCATCTACTTTCAGGAAAACAAGCTCAGGGCTCCCACTGATTCTACATTAAGGTGAGTGGAGGAAGTATTTCAATACATATTACAATGTAATAATAATAGAAGTAGGCCGGGCTCAGTGGCTCACACTGTAATCCCAGCATTTTGGGAGGCTGAGGCAGGCGGATCACCTGAGGTTGGGAGTTAAAGACCAGCCTGGCCAACATGGTGAAACCCCGTCTCTACTAAAAGTACAAAAACTAGCCAGGCATGGTGGCAGGAACCTGTAATCCCAGCTGCTTGGGAAGCTGAGGCAGGAGCAGAGGTTGCAGTGAGCCAAGATTACAGAATTTTGGGAGGCTTAAGTGGGCGGATCACCTAAAGTCAGCAGTTCCAGACCAGCCTGGCCCAGTGGTAAAACCCCATGTCTAATAAAAATACAAAAATTAGCTGGGTATGGTGGTAGGCACCTATAATCCGAGCTACTTGGGAGGCTGAGGCAAAAGAATTGCTTGAACCCAGGAGGGGGAGGTTGCAGTGAGCTGAGATCATGTCCCTGCACTCCAGCCTGGGTGATAGAGCAAGATTCTGTCTCAAAAAAAAAAAAAAAAAAAAAAAAGGCAAGCCAGTTACAATGGCTTATACCTGTAATCCCAGAACTTTGGGAGGCCAAGGTCGGAAGATCATTTGAGGCTAGGAGTTCCAAGTAAACCTGGGCAACGTAGCAAGACCCCATCTCTACAAAACATTTTTAAAAAATTAGCCAGGCACATTGGCATGTGCCTGTAGTCTCAGCTACTCAGGAGGCTGAGGCAAGAGGATTGCTGGAGCCCAGGAGGTGGAGGCTACAGTGAGCCATGCTTGTGCCACTGCACTCCAGCCTGGGTGACAGAGTGAGACCCTGTCTCTCAGAAAAAGAATTCAGAGTAGAGAAAGGTATAAATTGTAAGTTCAAGTATACCATGTCCCAAATTTCCTGCAGAAGTGTTGATGCACACCCCAAGAAATCTGCATTCATTTCCCAGCGCTGCCTTAACAAAGTGCCCTAAATGTTGTGGCTTTAACCACAGAGCTTTATTCTCACAGTTCTGGAGGCCAGGAGTCTGAAATCAAGGGATTTTTTATTGTTTGTTTTTCCTGTGAAGGCTGTGAGGGTCTGTCCCAGGTCTCGTTCCTGGACTCTCAGAGCCTCCAGTCTTCTGTCTCTGTATTGACATTGTCTTCCCTCTGTAGGTGTCTTTGTCCACACGTCCCTTTTTATAAGAACACCGGGATTAGGATGCACCCTCATTACCTCAGCTTAGCTTGATCACATGTGAAGAGCCTATTTCCAAATAAGGTCGCATCCACAGACCCTGCGGCGTAGGGCTTCAGCATCTTTCAGAGAGACACAGGACAATGCATAACACTATAGATTTGCAAATATATTTAGTTTGAGTTTCTGGGTTTTACTTTTTCTTTTTTGCATCAGATGGGTGATGTGATGATATCGTAACAAGTTTTGAGGAAAGCACATATCCTACAATAGCATGAAAACCCAATAGTCATGCTTGCGATTTGGTTTTTTAATTTTAATTTTAGTTTTTCTTGAGGCAGGGTCTTGCTCTGTTACTCAGGCTGGAGGGCAGTGGTGCAAACATGGCTCACTGCAGCCTCGACTTCCTGGGCTCCAGTGATCTTCCCACCTCAGCCTCCCAAAGTGCTAGGATTACAGGAATGAGCCACCACGCCCAGCTCTTTCCTATTTTTCGTTTGTACCTTGCTTTTTTTTTACTCAAAATACACCTTTGCAGCTGGGCTTGCTGGCTCAGGCCTGTAATCCTCAGCACTATGGGAGGCGGAGGCAGGTGGATCGCTTGAGGTCAAGAGTTCAAGACCACCCTGGCCAACATGGTGTAACGCCTTCTCTACTAAAAATACAAAAATGAGCTGGGCGTGGTGGTGCGTGTGTGTAATCCCAGTGACTTGGGAAGCTGAGAAAGGAGAAGCACTTGAACCCTGGAGGCAGAGGTTGCAGTGAGCGAAGTTCATACTACTGTACTTCAGACTGGGTGGTGGAGCGAGACTCTGACCAAAAAAAAAAAAAAAAAAAAGAAAGATACATACACACACACACACCCCTTGGCAATCTTTTTATATATCAGCATTTGCTGGTACAATTTAAATTCTGTTGTAGATTTCATTTAGATTAATACAATCTAAATACTATTCTATTAAGTTCTACAACTAAAAAAATAGGCAATGCATTTAAATGATTCAAAGTTCAAAAGCTATGAAAGAGCATAGAACTGAGTCTCCCATATGGCAGCCAGTGGCATACGTGCTTATTGAAATCTAAGTGAGGCCGGGTATGGTGACTCATGCCTATAATCCCAGCACTGTGGGAGGCCGAGTCAGGTGGCTCGGCTGAGGTGAGGAGTTTGAGACCAGCCTGACCAACACAGTGAAACCCCATCTCTACTAAAAACACAAAAAGTAGCCAGATGTGGTGGTGAGCCCCTGTAACCCCATCTACTTGGGAAGCTGAGGCAGGAGAACTGCTTGAACCTGGGGGACAGAGGTTGTGGTGAGCCAAGATCACACAACTTCACTCCAGCCTGGGCAACAGAGCGAGACTCCATCTCAAAAAAGAGATCATGTGACACCAAGGTTTTTTCAGGGCTAGAGTGACCTGCAACCACCCATGGTCGGCAGCGCTGAGTGGTTCCTGGCGCAGCTGGAGATGAAACTGGTGACGGGGGCAGCCCTGTCATCTTTACAGGGAACCTCACAGGGCAGGCAGGCAGCAAGCTGGCCTCTCTGCATCGCTGAGCCATCTGCTGAGTGACCAGGCCCACGTGACAGGTAGGAGATGAGACCCCTTGTGCCCTGTCTTCTCTGTGGCCAGGCCAGGGTGTGGGCCAGATGCCTCCTGATGGTCCTCATCACCCCAGCCTCTCAATATCAACATCCCATCTAAGGACAGACGCAGGCTCAGCGTGAGCCCCCAGAACCTCCCAAAACCTCCAACTGCCCCCACAAACCTTCAAATAGCAGCTTTTGGGCTGTTTTTATTCTCACCCACGATAAGAAACACATGTAACATTTTGACCTAAAATATGCTGGGCATTTAAAACACACACACACACAGGCTGAGGAGGTGCTGGCCCTGTGCCAGAGCCGGGGTGGTAGCACCTCAGTGTGCCACTTATGGGTTCTTAACGATTCCAAGGTAAGGACAGGCGCTGGGGCTGGGGGCACTTGGAGCGGTGGCTGTTGACCACCTCATGTGGGTGTTTGGGAGTCATAACAGCTGGCCCATTTCCACCTGTGTGTTCTGGATGACCTTCAGTGTTGCAGAAGCAGAAGCTTCAGAAGGTGACAACCCATGATGTGTGGTTAATTCTTGTCATCTGTCCTATTTGTTTCATTCTACTTTATTTATTTGAGACAGAGTCACACTGTTGCTGGGACTGGATGCAGTGGTGCAATCTTGGCTCACTGCAGCCTCTGCCTCCTGGGTTTAAGCGATTCTCCTTCCTCAGCCTCCTGAGTAGCTGGGATTACAGGTGCCCGCCACCATACCTTGTTACTTTTGTTTTATATTTTTAGTAGAGACAGGGTTTCACTATGTTGGCCAGGTTGGTCTTGAACTCCTGACCTCAGGAAATCTGCCTGCCTTGGCATGCTGGAATTATAGGCATGAGCCACTGTGCCTGGCCTCATTCTACTTTATTTATTTATTTATTTTTTTCTTTGAGACGGAGTTTCGCTCTTGTTACCCAGGCTGGAGTGCAATGGCGCGATCTCGGCTCACCGCAACCTCCACCTCCTGGGTTCAGGCAATTCTCCTGCCTCAGCCTCCCGAGTAGCTGGGATTACAGGCACGTGCCACCACGCCCAGCTAATTTTTTGTATTTTTAGTAGAGACGGGGTTTCACCATGTTGACCAGGATGGTCTCGATCTCTTGACCTCGTGATCCACCCGCCTCGGCCTCCCAAAGTGCTGGGATTACAGGCTTGACACCCGCCCGGCCCTTCATTCTACTTTATTTTTGGGCCAAGCACAGTGTCCCACGCCTATAATCCCAGCACTTTGGGAAGTCAAAGCAGGAGGATTGCTTGAGCCCAGGAGTTCAAGATCAGCCTGGGCAACATAGTGAGACCACTGTTTCTACAAAAAAAAAAAAAAAAAAAAAGCCAATGTGGTGGCACGTCTGTAGTACCAGCTACTTGGGAGGATCGATTGAATCTGGGAGGTCAAGGCTGTAGTGAGCCGTGATCAGGCCTGTCTGTGGCCTGTTGTGCAGGGCACAGGTGTTGGTTCTTCAAGGAGCCCCCAACCCCAAGGTCCCTGGGGTATTTCTGAGTCCCCCCTTTGCCTGGGGCTGAGGGTGTTGGTCTCTGGGGCCTGACCCTTTCACCTGCCTGCTCTCTGTCCCTGCAGCACTGCTGGAAAGGAAGGAGGAGGATGGACGGTGCGTGGCCGCCCTGGGTGCCGAGCTCTTCGTGCCAGGGCTGGCAGGGCTGTGTGCCCTTGGCTTGCTGCAGCAGTGGGGCTGGCTCTGGACCAACTCCCTGAGGATCCAGTACAGCCTCCTGGGTAAGGCATCGCATGCCTGGCTGAGGGGCAGGTGGAGGTGGCAGGGCCTGTCCTGTTTCCTGTGGCTGTGGCTCTGCGAGCTAAGATAATGCTGTCACCACAGGATTTTCCATTAGTCATTCTGTGGGCTCTGAGTAGGACTTAGTACCTGCTCATTAAAAAAAGGGTGTGTCTGTTGAGGGGACATTCATCCATCTCTTAAGACCTCCCCATGGACAGGTTCTAACAGAGTGACAGGTGAAGCAGGGCACAGGGCTGAGGGACACAGCTGAGGCCAGGCTGGGCTGGGCCCTCCTACTCTTGGAGCCCTGGTAGAGGGCTGGCTGGCAGAGAAGGACAGGGGTCTCTTGATTGATCCTCACAGCTCAGCAAAGCAGCCAGCACACGGTGCAGCACCAACCAGAGGCTGCAGACAGAGAACAGCTCAGACGGCGCCTACAGGCTGGAGATGGGCCATGAGCTCCACTGCACACAGATCCCGGCCTTCAGCCACAAGGTGGGTGCCCAGGCCAGGTGGGACGTCTAGAGAGAGCACCAGTCAGGCAAGTGGTGATCTGAGTACCCTGAGCTCATCCCCAAAGAGATGAACTTGCTCCCAATAGCACAGTCACATAGGAATGGATCCAGGGCTGGCACTTCAGCCTCAGGCTTATGTCTATTCATCCAGGGTTGCTTGAGGCCAGGAGGCAGAGATTGCAATGAGCCAAGGTGGTGCCACTGTACTCCAGCCTGGGCGAGAGTAAGATCTCGTCTCTAAAATAAACATGATAAATTAAAAAAAAAAAAAAAAAAAAAAAAGGCTGAGTACAGTGGCTCACGCTTGTAATCCCAGCACTTTGGGAGGCTTAGGTGGGCAGATCACGAGGTCAGGAGTTCGAGACCAGCCTGGCCAACATGGTGAAACCCCATGTCTACTAAAAATACAAAAATCAGCCGGGTGTAGTGGTGGGTGCCTGTAATCCCAGCTTCTTTGGAGGCTGAGGCAGGAGAACTGCTTGAACTCAGGTGAGCTAATGGAAGCACTGGGACAAGAGCAGCAACAAGAGGCATCTCTGTGTCAGCCAGACCTTCAAGAATGACTCCGGGCCCACCCTGAGCAATCACTTCATGGAGGTGAGCCTGGCCACTGCAGCAGAGCTGTGCCCCATGAGCCCAGCGTGGATGGTGGCAAAAAAGACATTTGTTTTCACAGATCCAGGGGCTGAAAGTCTGAGATCAGGTGCCAGGATGGTTGGGTTCCAGTGAGGACTCTTCCTCACCTGCACACGGCACAGTCCCCTTTCCTAGGTGTGTTCTCACTGAAGAGAGAAAGAACAAGCTCTCTGTGTCTCTTCATAAAAGCACGAATCCCATCAGATCAGGGCCCTGCCCTGATGACTTCATCTAATGCTGATTACCTCCCAAACGCCCTAGCTCCAGAAACTATTACATTCAGGGTTAAAGCGTCAACATATGAGGATTCTGGGGAGGCCCCAAACATTCAGCTTATAACAAGGTTCTTTTTGTGTTCCTGGATCTTACGCAGGTTACCATATTACATTTAGTCATTGTGTCTCCTTGGCTTCCTTTAGACTGTGGCAGTTTCTGAGACTTTCCTTTCTTTTTTGGTGACCTTGTCACCTTTAAGGACTACTGGTCACATATTTTGTAGAATGTCCCTCAAGTGGGATTTATCAAATGTGTTTCTCATGATACATCTGGGTTTATGGATGTCTGGGAGGAAAACCAAAAAGATGAAGTGTCCTTTTCATCACATCATACAAAGGGTGTGTACTTTCAATGTGACTGATCACTGTTGATGTGGATTTGGTCACCTGACTGAGATAGTGAAGCAGGATAATTTTCCTGACCCCTTTGCTGGTGGGATCTGGGGTGTGGGTGCTGGAAGTAGCTGGCCACTTAGGCGCTGGCAGGGGCAGACTCCACTCACTAGAACCCCCTGTGCTCAACCCGCTGTGGTAGGGAACATGGGGGTAAGTGTGTGCAGGAGCTGGGGTGAGTGCTTTTGGGTGCCAGGAGGAGCAAAACTCTGTGCAGGCCCTGAGGCCCCAGAAGGAGTGTTACAATCGGTGCTGTTTTAGCTTCACCACCCATGGACAGTTTAAGTGTTAACAGCTCAGTGGAAGGTAAGTGTGACAGTCTTTTACACCAGCCTGGAAGAGAAAGGGCTGTTGGAATATGAGAAAGGGTAGATATGAAAGATACTCCTTTAGACTGTGTTAAGTTTCAGATGCTGGCTAGACTTTGAAGTAGAAATGTGAAGAACACTGAAGATGTGAATCTGGAGTTCAGGGTATAGGGCAGGACTCAAGATTCTATTTGGAGTTTGCACATTTTATCTTTAAAGAATTCCATTGTATTTTTCAGAGTAATAATTTCATTTGATAGAATAAAGAGGCTGTGGTACTTTGAGTAGAATGATGAGAAAAATTTTAATCAAACTTTTTTTTTTTTCCTGAAAGCATTGCGAATAAAAATAAGGTAAAATATAGGTGATTTGCAGTCAGCATCAGTGACCTGTCTGTATCTGACCTGCGTCCCAGCTGATATAGCCAGTAGACAGTAGAAAATTCAGAATTTGATTTGCATGTTTTAAAGCTATTGAGAAGAATTAGACATTTTAATTTCTTCCCCCCACCATCCCCCATAAGGAACCATGTGGATATATTTTTGAACCTTACCTTTTCTTTTTCTTAGCAGGAAACCAGTCAGAAGTGGGAGGCCTCTGAATCAGCTGTATACTGTGTAGCCGCGAGGTTCCGCTTTCTCCAGGCAGAACGCTGGCCCTCAGTGCCTCTTTCTGCTTTCCCTCGTTCAGACCACTGAGGACTGCCACTGTCCTGTCTGACTCCTCCTATTTTGGTAAGCAATATAGGGAGGCTGAAGGATTGATATTATTTGGCTCCATATTTTAAAAAGATATTTGGAGCCGGGCGCGGTGGCTCACGCCTGTAATCCCAGCACTGTGGGAGGCTAAGGCGGGTGGATCATGAGGTCAAGGGATTGAGACCATCCTGGTCAACACGGTGAAACCCCGTCTCTACTAAAAATACAAAAAATTAGCTGGGCATGGTGGTGCGTGCCTATAATCCCAGCTACTCAGGAGGCCGAGGCAGAAGAATTGCCTAAACCCAGGAGGCGGAGGTTGCGGTGAGCCAAGATCGTGTCATTGCACTCCAGCCTGGGTAACAAGAGCAAAACTCTGTCTCAAAAAAAAAAAAAAAAAAAAAAAAGATATTTGGTAGTTACATAAAGTTACATCTAGTTTGACCTACAGTACCACTTTTAACCTTAAGTTGTTGTACAGAAATTGATCCTTTATTATTTAGAAAATAGACTTTAAATTTAATAATACTGAGAGAATTCATGGTTCTTTTCTTTTGCCTTCCCTGTCCTTTAGTTCTTTATTTTTAGAGTTCTTGTACTGGCACATCTTCCCTTTCCTGGGGAGTTGATTTTTTTTTTTTTTTTTTTTTTTTTTTTGGG